ACGAAAACAATGGATCGTGGATCACCACATCAAAAACCAATGATGTATGGTGACTAACATAACATAATAAAAGAAAAGAAAAGAAATGTAAACATTGCCAGGAAACCACCAGAAGTTAAGGAGAAATATGTATAGATACTCCAATAGTATTCTGAGAGAGGATGTCCCTGGCAACATCTTGATTTCAGGCTTCTAGCCTTCATAAATGTGAGACAATAAATTTCTATTATTTAAGCCACCTAGTTTATAGTACTTTGTTATGGGACACTTAGGAAATTACTTCAATTCCTCCAATATCAAACAGTAAATAAGTATGACTGAAGAGAAAAGATTATTCTCTTTTTGATCTACTGGGAATAGACATAGATATTTAAAGCTCAGTTGCAGGACAAATTGCTACAAAAATAAGATATTAAATGATTCAAAATAGTAAGGAAAGCTTGTTGCAAATTCACAGCAGTGATTTTCAAACTTGCAGGATTACCACCATACACAGGAGAAATTATTCAAAATGTACATACCTCCCACTGAACCTCCCAGTTTTGGGTACAGCAGACTTAATGTGGGCCCATGTAGCTGCAATTTTAACAAGCACTCTGTACCAATTTTGATGAAGTGTTCCTAGGACCACACTTGGAAAACTCCTGACCTAAACATCTGCAGTTTGTGCACCATTAATTTAATGTCTACCATGCAGAGTTCTGTGATATGTGGGATGTCTCTGTAATATAATTAATCAAAAGGTCTCATGTTCTGGGGCGCCTGGGTGGCTCAGTCGTTAAGCGTCTGCCTTCAGCTCAGGTCATGATCCTAGGGTCCTGGGATCGAGCCTCACATCGGGCACCCTGCTCCCTGGGAAGCCTGCTTCTCCCTCTTCCACTCCCCTGCTTGTGTTCCCTCTCTCACTGTGTCTCTCTGTCAAATAAATAAATAAAATCTTAAAAAAAAAAAAAGGTCTCATGTTCTAACCTCTCCACTATGACAACAGGTTGCTTTCCTCTGTGGATTCACACTAAACTCCACAATATCCCTGTGTTGTTAGAGAATTGGGTATTGTTATCCCCTTGTGTCCCCACTGGAAAAAGAGAAGTGACTTAAATGGTGGGACCCTGATTTCTTCACTCTTGCTTGAGGAAAATGTCTAGTACACTGGATGTCACACTTGGTTTTCTATTGGCTCATTTCTGCGGCTTAGAGTGCACACCTTCTCTGCTGTTCCACTACAAGGGAGAGTCAGAAGATCAGATAGCACATGGAATAGAGTAGAAAGTGAGAGGAAGGGAAAACACATGAAACACAGGGGAAAAGGGTGAGCATGTGCTTGCCTGTCCCTACTCAGGTCACTGGAAGCTATGCAGTGACACTGTGCCTCTTCCCCATGTCCATCTCCCAGTCCCCTCCTGCACACAGCAGTGACACTGAAGCTCACATCATGGAAATGGGGGCTCACCCCTTCTTGTTGTTCATGTCCAAGTATTCTCTCTGGTAGTTATGCTATGATGTTCATGTCAGAGGCATCACATTGACAGAATGAAGGAGGCAAAGCTAGAACGGGCAGCTAACATGTTGAGAGCTTTCTAGATGCCACAGAGTGTAGTTTGTTATTTTCAGACTTTTTTCCTTTATACCCTCAAAGCATTGCTCTGAAGCTCACAACATTACTTTCCTTATACAGTTTTGGGGATACTCAGGCTCACAGAGGAAAGTACATGCTCGAAGAATTTTAGGGAGGTGACAATAGACACAGAAGCCAATTTGAGGGGGCTAACACTGGCCAATTCTGTGACAATTTGAGCATCAAAATACATAATTATAATGTCAGATGATAACTATTTGAGCACAATAGGAATCCATGAGTCATACCATTAAAATAAATACGTAGAATTTAAGAAATAAATAAGCAAAGGGAAAAAAAGTGAGAGGCAAACCAAGAAACAGACTCTTAACTATAGAGAACAAACTGATGACTGCCAGAGTGGAGGTGAGTGGGGGATGGGTGAAATAGGTGATGGGGATTAAGGAGTGCACTTGTTGTGATGAGCACCGGGTATTGTAAGGAAGTGTTGAGTCACTATATTGTACACCTTAAACTAATATTACACTGTATGTTAACCAACTGGAATTTAAATAAAAACTACAAGAAGAAATAAATGATACCGGAGAAGGCAAAATCTCTACCCAACATGAATGCCAATGAATAAATCTAGAAGGAATGATGACACCATTATTAAAAAAAAAACTTAACAATTATCAGAGTAATGAGTGATTCAAGCAAGAATCATAAATGGATTTTCAGGCTGTACCAAGTTTCACAGCAGTCACTGAGTCACCATGGTAACCATGCTGGCCAAGGAAAGCTGAGAGAAAACAAATAGCAACAATCCTGACTTGTCTCCTAAGCTATTACATATCAGTGACTGGTTTTCTGAAGATGACCTGTAGAATTTTCTGTAGGTCATTTTCATCCCTGGATTTAGTATAGTGCCAATCTTATCTAAAATCTAGGCAAATGAATATTGTGTGTGTGTGTGTGTGTGTGTATACCACTTGTCTGTGACAATTTGAGCATCAAAATACATAAGTATAATGTCAGATGGTAAATGTTTGAGCAAAATAGGAATCCAAGCATCATACCAATAAAATAATACATGAATAAATAAGTAAATGATAAGGGAGAAGTGAAAAGCTCTATTCAACATTTGAATGTCAATTTTTTAATCTAGAAGGAATGACAGCATTATAAAAACAACACTTAACAACTATCAGAATAATGAGTGAGTCAGGCAAGAATTATAAATGGATTTTCAGTTTGTACCAAGTTTCACAGCAGTCACTGAGTCACCATGGTAAACATGCTGGCTGGCCAAGGAAAGCTGAGAGAAAACAAACAGCAACCACTCTGACTTGTCTCCTAACATGTGCTCGGAACTGAGGAGGACAGACATAACCCACAGTAATTCACCTCACATATTCCTCGCAAGAAATATTTCTCAGAGCTTCACCAACACACACACACACACACACACACACACACACACACACTCAAACATGTTCTCTCAATGTTTCTTACCACCAAAAAATCCAGGAATTCATTGAGGTACCTTTGTTTAAGGATAAACAAGAAAAATCCCTAATTCAATTCTAACCTCACAAAGTTGAAAGCTACTAAACAATTACAATGAGTGGTTTTCTGAAGATGACCTGTAGGGTTTTCTGTAGGTCATTTTCATCCCTGGATTTAGTATAGTGCCAATCATATCTAAAGTCTAGGCAAATGAATACTGTGATGATAAATTATATGAATCCTTTTGGCAAGGCCATAGCACCCAGATACTTGATCAAACATTATTCTGGATATTTCTGTGAGAATGTTGTTGGATGAGACTTACACTCAAATGTGTAGACTTTGAGTAAATGAGTTAGCTCTCTATAATGTTGGTGGGCCTCATCTTACCATGTGAAGATCTTATTAGGAAGGAAGGATTATCTCCCCTAAGCCAAAGGGAATTTTTCAAGTAGATTGCCTTTGACTCCACTATAGCATCAGCCCCTGTGGTTGTCTAGAAAATAGTTTTCAGAGTCCAACTGTAACTCTTTCCTGAGTCTTCAGTATGCTAGCCTCCCCTATCAGATTCTGCCAACCCTCCACAATCTCAAGAGTCAATTACATAAATCTCTATCTATATGCCAACATCCTATTAGTTCTGCTTCTCTGGAGAACACTGACTAATACAGGTGTTAAGCAGCAATTATGTTTTCCATCCTAAGGTAACTTGTGTTTTCAAACAAAAAGATTCACAGCAACATTTGGCTACTGATTGTTCAGTGAAAATATAATACCTGGAAATTATAATAAAAATTATTGCCATTGACAATAGCGTAAAAAGTATGAACTACGCAGAAGTGATCTATGTATCATATCTATGTCCACAGATGTGCAAGGCCTGTATTTTGAACACTGCAAAACATTGCTGAGAGAAATTTAAAAAACCTAAATAAATGAAGGGAAATACCATCTTCAAGGGATCAGAAGACTCAATATTGTTAAGATGTCAATTCTCCCCAAACTGATCTATAGATGCAATGCCATCCCAGTAAAAAACCTACCATATATTTAAAAAAAAATAACAGCTTTATTGTAAAAGTCATGTGAAAAGTGCAAAGGGCCTAGACTATGAAAACAAATGAAAAACAAGAATAAAGCTGAAGGATAAGCACTTCCTTATTTCAAGACTAATTATAAATTAACAGCAACCAAAACAGTGTAGTATTAGGATGAAGGTAGAAATGTGTGTTGAAGGAACAAAATGAAGAGTCCAGAAACAGACCCACACATATATGGAAAACTGGATCTTGACAAAGGTACAAAAGCAATTCAGTGCATAAATGATAGTCTTTTCAACAAAACAGTGCAGGGACAAGAGGATCTCCATATGCACAAATACAAACTATGATCCAGGTATTGCACCATATAAAAAAACCAAGTCAGTATGAATTACAGACCTAATATAAGCCTAAAAGTATAAAACTTTTAGAGGAAAACCCAGGAAAAAAACTTGTGACCTCAGTTTAACTGAATATTTTGTAGATATGACATCAATGTCAAAATCAAACTGTAAATAAACAAATTGAAAAACCAGATTTCCTAAAAATTAA